GGGCCCCGCCGGCCGCGCCGCTTTAAGGAGAGAGGGGGGCCGCCGAGTGCCCGTCCCATCTGGTGCCCGTCCAACTCTTCCTCCTTCCCCGTGGCTTTTTCTTTTCCCAATGAGCTCCAGCGGGTTGGGGGAGGAGCGGGGAAAGGAGCAAACTTTGCCCCTGAGCTGCAGCCGCTGCCAGCCCTCTGGACTGTGAGTGCGTGCGGTGGGCATCCGTCCTCCCTGCGGCACCAGCCTGCTCTCCGCCTGCTGCTGCCTCTCCCTCTCCCTGCTTTCCTCCTCTAAATTTCGCACAGTACGATGTAGTGGGCTTGTCGTTATTTTTTATTTATTTCTCGCCGAAGATGGTTTAATTTTTTAATATTGCTATTATTTATTAACCCTTCCCACCCGTAAACCTGCCCAGCCTTCTGCCAGCTGGGCCAGAGCGTAAAGCCTGGGACTGCACCTGGGGCAATGAGCCCTGCACTGAAGAAGCCTCCTAGAGGGATGTGCCGGGGCCACGCAACAGACTAGATCCAAGCCCCGAAGCCTACAACACCAGTTATCCCCTTCTCCCTCGCCCCCTTCGCCCGCCTTTTCTACGCTCCCAGCCCCTTGAACACCTCGGATCAGTGCCTGCGCTGCGCTCCGGAGAGCTTTGCCGGGGTGGAAAGCCCGGAGCCGCCGAGCGACGGGGCGGCCGTGCTAGATGCATGGGGGAGGGCTCCGGTTAATGCAAGTCCTGGGCTCCTGCAGGGACCCCGACAACTGTCAGCAGCAGCAGCTACTCGGGGCCTCCTCCTCTGCTTCCTCAGCGATGCTTTTCCACAGTTTGTCCGGCTCGGAGATGCATGGGGTCATCGACGAGATGGATCGGAGAGCCAAAAGCGAAGCGCCAGCCATCAGCTCGGCTATAGACAGGGGAGAGACCGAAACGGTAGGAGGCGAAGGAGTGGGAGAGTCATTCAACCCCCTAAACTTAATGAACCCCTCAAAGATTTCCCTTAAAATAGCAGATCGGGGGGAAACCTATGCAAATACTAAATCAGAATCAAATTTAAGCATAAAGGTACCCCAAAAGATTAAATTAAAACATGGGGCAAGGCATGAAACTGTTAATTATTAATAATATGCATAGTAATAGTAACGCTTGGGTGAAAGGAACGGCACTGCTCTTGCGAGAAAACAGAAATAGAGACCAGCCTTTTGGTAGCGTCCAAGAACTCCTTCCCTTCCCCCAGCCTGTCCGGCCTTCTAAAGTTTTTAGGAAGAGGCAAAGTATGCTTTTATACAGATAACATTCTGGCACAGCGAGATTTTTGTCTGCAGAATGGAAAGACAAGCACCAAAGAATCCACTTCTATATTATTTTTCAGGTGGGATGGCTACACTGAGGTAGCTATTATAGCATTAGAAAGAAAACGCTAGTATTTTAAAATTATGATCGTTTATAGTAGTAATATATACGACCATTGGCTTTGAAAACGAGAAATGGAACTAGAAAATATGTTTCAGGGATACGAATGGATGCACATTTTAAAACTTTTATCACTTTTTACCTGGTGTCTGCTGATGTGTAATACTTGTATACTAGTACGTTTATACAATAAAAAGGTGCATCCTTCGAATTTGAGTTAACCTAGCAAAGTGGAAGAGATTTCCGAAGTATGTTAACTGATTCAACATTTTATGTGTGTTACTTTTTGTTAAGGAGAAATGATAATTTTGAAGTGCAGAGATTACGTATTTTGGTTAAATGCTGTCTTGTAAGCTGATGCGGGCATGTGTAGGAAACATCTGTTCACGGTTTTTAAAACTTCGTCAATATATGTTATTTCTCTTAATATTATGTCGAAATTTACTTAAAAGTAAACAGTGAGATGATATAATCCTGAAATACTGGCTGAAAGAGAGCCTTTATACTGCGAGGATAGAACATGACTTCTAATCTACACAGCTGTAGTTTTCTTCGGAAAAGTTAGTATTTGTCCGTACAATTAAACCATATCAAATATTCTTTACTGGAGTAAATATTATGATATGATACCTTTATATATGTATATAGAATGTGTATGCATATACATGTGTATATAATGAGCAGTGGGATAAAATACTCGATCCTTAAATACCATTTCTGGATCTCAGAATATTGATGTCGCCGGAAAAGCAAAGCAGAAAAACTGTATTTTATTTAAAGTGGATTTACAAGAAACTACTTTGGTTATAAAACAATCACTAATCAGAGCTTAGCTAACGCTTTAAAGAAATCAGCTATCAGTGGAGTTGTGTGGACAACATGATAATGTAGAGCTATAATGTTATTTACTTGCAGTTCTGATAGTGGACACGATGTAATGGAAGCAATAGTGCTAACAGCGATGGGATTTTGTGATCTGTGCAAGTGTTACGCGAAAGTAATCAGTCTAGCATATGCTGAAAAAATAGCTTCATTTTCGTTCGATTCTTCCCCTATTAGCTGTCTTCTCTCCTTTTGCTTTGCGCAAAGACTTTAAGGCTCTAGAGGAGGCAAAAGTAAACAAACAACCTCCCTCCCGAATCAAAACAGACCTGTGTGTTTGTCACATCGCTACAGAAATGTTTGGGGTCTTGTTGCACCGAACCGGTCTGCAGCGGGTTTTGAGCGCTGTGCCAGGGTGAGAGTAAGTTTAGAACGAAATGGACAGCAGCGCATTGCAAGGTCTGCCATAAATTCTCCTCCGCGTCTGAACCTTTTCTCTTGAACACTATTTTAAGGTGCTGGATAAAATAAATAAGAGCGCTTAAACGGTTTTCGATATTTTTCTGGTTTTTTTTTTTCAGTAGATGTTGACAGAATATGTATGTATGTATTTGTTTTTTTGCAGGGAGTTTCGATTGGATTGTGATTTGACACTAAACTATTAAATTATATAGGGGTTACATTTAGTTTTATTGCTTCCAAGTTTATCCCAGCATAATCTAACGTGCTCTGTTGTTTTTTCCTACTTTCTTACATACACATTTCCCACTATTTCGTTTTCCTGATAAACATTCTGCACCTCGGATTTAGTAATGCTCATCTCCTCCGCAGTTTTTTCTTTACTGGTCCCTTTAGTGCTTTGGGTTACAGCAGATTTGGGCACATTTGTTTGGAACCAACTTGCAGAGCGAGCTGTGTCTGTAGCTCTCTGACTACTAGGGGGTTTGATCGTAATTCACCCGGAATTTTATAGCTAGGAAAATACACACACACACACACACACACGCTCCACATACAGGCACTCACAGAGCCTTAGCTATGCAGACCTTCTCCGTGTATCCCTAATAATAAATTCTAAAATCAACTCTCTGCGATTTGCCCGGCTGTGTGATTATTGCGCCTGTTTATTGAACAGCATCTTTTCTGCTTGTTCTGGGACTGGCAAATCCACAAAACAATTCTTGGGTCTCATTCGGACGTCTTCCTTAAGCCCCAGGTTGTTTTTCTTCTTGTTTCACCTCCTTCCCCAAATCCTGGCTCGTCTCTCGGGATGGGGGGATGCCGCCGGCTGCGGGACCCTGGGGATCCCGTTGCCGGCGCAGGAGGCAGGTCGGGGCG